AAGTCTGATTTGAGTTTTCTTGAGCTGATAATGTAACATAGTAAGATGTTTTAACTCAGAGCATCAAGTTGAAACCACAAATGACCATTAGTTTAATAAATGGTAAAACGTAACTTCTGGAGTTGAAACAAGAGTATCTTTGAGTTGAGTTAACTCACATTTTTAAGGCAGCAGGTGAACTTTCGTTTCTAAGTTTAACCAACTTGAAATGTTTTACTGTGTGACGATGAACTGCTTTTAACTGAAAAGTGAGTGTTTACTCTTGTCCTTTTGCATTATTGCCACACCATTTTCCTGTTTAATACTGTAAAGCTGCTTTGACACAATCTGTATTGTTAAAAGCGCTATATAAATAAAGGGGACTCGGCTGGAAACGCCACACGCTGGTCGGAAAACTCAGTACAAACATGCATAAAAACAGCTTTTACAAACACATTCAAATGTTTTATAGAAAATGTAATCAATTAAATGCAATTAATGAATCATTTAATTCCATTAAACACGAAGTATCTGTATAATACATGTTTTTTATTGACATGTGAAATTGTAGCACAAATATCAGTGCTTTTAACAAGTTATCACCTGAATATATTAATAACAATTGACACTGAAGATTAATCAATGCATGAAGTAAAACACAGAAAGGAATCAGAAAACTGCTGTGATGAAGACCAAGTTCCAGTGGAATCTCTTCACAATCCTCTGAAGCATGCAGTCCATCATTCTGGTGATCGAGCAGCAGTTTCTCTGCAGATGATTTAGATGCATCTGAAATACACAACTGAGTTTAGAGTTACAGTGGCTCTCTTCCACTAGTTTGTGTAAAAACAGCCGTTCACGAAGGACAAAAGTACCAAGGCCTTCCCAATGTTAAAAGGAAAAGTGAGAAAGTCGAGAGAACTTTTAATGTTTTTTGTGACTGGGAATGTTTATACCCAAGTAATAATTAAAACATTCTACAATATGAATTATAAAATTCTCTCTCTATATATATTACTTTGTGGAGAAGAGCAGAGATGAAGATGAGCGGAGCTGCTCACACTCATATGAGACCAATAAACTAAAAAGAGAAAAGAACATGTTTGTTTGGAAACCAGTTACAGTTTTAAAGATACATTTGTATTTTTATTTCAGAATGAAATCACTTACATTGTTAAGAGTGTGTTGACAGTCCGTGTAGTTTGATCACGAGGACAGTTACAGATTAGAAGAAAACAAAAAACAAAAAAACAAGCAGAATAAAAAGCAGATAGAGGAGCAATGAACACAAGAAAAACAAGCAGAAAAACAGATGACAAGACTATGACCATGAGCAAAAACAAGATAAAAGAACAAATCAGGGAAAAAAAAAAAAAGTGAATGAACAGGCGTGGCAGTTTCCCCAATTCTCCCCCAGCGTGGCAATTTCCAAAAAGCGTGGCAATATCCATATCTGTAGAACAAGAAATAATGAAATTTATGTTAAAAAAAATAAAAAACAACACACACACACAACTGATCATGTGACCCTCAACACAATCACACTCAAAACACACAGTTCTTCACTTAATACATCTGAGATGACATGAAAATGACAAAAATAATTAAAAAAAAATACTTGAATCACTTCTGCGCCATCTGAAAATGAACGTGAATCAGAAACACAAGAGAATCATTTGCACAGCAGCAGATCTG